AAAAAAAAAAAAAAAAAAAAAAAAAATGGACTGCAGGGAAGAACAAAAGACCCCCCAACCCTTCTTACAAGTGAGAAAAGGGAGCCATGTAGGATGGTATCGGGTATCAATTCTCTCCAAGATAATCGCCTCCTCCATCTTTTTGCTGTGTTTACTCGCCCCCATCCCCATGCCCTCACACAGGGCTTTTAAATATGCAAGTCTCCTATCACAAAAGAAAGAGAAAAATCCTTTACCCCACATTTCCCTTCAATTTCCAGTTATTGTTTAATCCATTATACCCTTGGATAGGTCCACTATTTAAAGAGTTGCCATATTTCAATACATCTGTTCTGTATCTCTTTCCTCAACCCCTTCAATCTCAGTGTGGCTTCCATCCTGTCCTTATGCAGAAAAAAAAAAAAAAAACTCTAATGAGATATTTGCAGGCTCAGTCTCTGAGCAGCATTTGACACTGCTGCCACACCTCACTCTTGAAACACGCTTCCTCTGGCCTCTGCAGTGCTTCTTTTCCCCTGCTCCTCTGCTCTTCTTGCTGCCATTCTGGCTCCCTCTCCTCTTCCAGGCTCCGTAATATTAGAGTTCTTTGTAGCTCCATGTCTGTTCTCCCTTTTTCTCCCTGTTCCCCCTAGTCTTTGACACTAGTCATAAATCCATGCCTGTGGCTTTACATGTTAGGTATGTACTTGGCACCCAGCTTTCTTCACAGTGTCCTCTTCTGAGCTAGACCAATATGTCCATCTAGCTGAATGATATTGCTTCTTTTTTTAAATTTTTTAATAGTTGTAGATGGACAGTATGCCTTTATTTGTTTAGTTTTTTTATGTGGTGCTGAGGATCGAACCCAGTGCCTCACACATGCTAGGCCAGCGCTCTGCCACTGAGCCCCAACCCCAGCCTCCCATGAGATTGCTTCTTAATTCACTCATACACTTCCAGTTCAACAGCCATGAGACCAAACAGTGTCCCACCAAGCAGCCCTAACTGGAATTTCTTCATTGTAAGTTGGGGTTCTTCCTTGGCCTTTCTCTTTACCCCGCCATCCAGTAAACCATGCAGTCCTGGTGATGTCCCCTGGGCATTTTTTCAAATACCTCTATTTATTTATTTATTTTTGTGTGGTGCTGAGGTTTGAACCCAGTGCCTCACGCGTGCTAGAAAAGCGCTCTGCCACTGAGCCCCAGCCCAGCGCTCTCCTGAAGGCGTCTTTCACATGCCTTCATCATAACCAGCTCCTGAGTCCAACCCCTCCCTTGTGTTAGCTTTCCATAACTAAAAAGTATGTAGAGAAAGGTTTATTTGGGCTCTCAGTTTTTGGAGGCTCTAGTTTATTGTTGGTTGACCTATTTGGGGGCCTGTGGCAAGGCAGCATGTCCTGTCAGGGAGTGCATGGTGGAGCACAGCCTCTTCCCTCCTAGCCAGAATCATAAAAGGGGAGGAGACCAGGGTCCAGCAATCCCCTTCAGGGCACACCCCCAGTGACTTGAATCCTCCCGGGAGGCCCCACCTCTTACACTTTCCACTGCCTCCAGTAACACAGGGGCTGGAGACCAAGCCTTGAACCCGGGAGCCTTTGGGACTAGCCTTCAGTCAGCCTGCTTCAGGCCCTGCTGTCTGGTCCCCACACCCTTCTGACTCCGTTCTGTTCTTCACGCTCAGCCAGCCTCTTCCCGAGGCAGGACTGGTTATGCCAACCCTCCCAGCTCTCCTCTAGTTCACTGCCAGCTTCCTTCACTCTCTAACACGTGGCCTTCCCACGGCCCTGCAGCCGCTCACCCCACCCACCTCTCCAGAGTCATCAGGACCCACTGGCCCTTCCACTGGACCTTAGCCACAAGGGCTCCTGTACCCTTCAGGCCTTGACTCTGTTTTCTGTCTGCCTCTCATCTCCCTAGTTACAGCCCACTGACTTCCTGTCTCCCCTCAGAGCTTCCAGGGGGCACCTGTCAGGATCCAGTCTGTTTGTTATACATCCTGACAGAACTGCATCTCCTCTAAAACAGAAGTCACTCCTGTCATTAGCTTACTGCCAACACACAAGTTCCTAAGAAACAGAAGCGTTGGTGTTTGTTTTCACCATGGATTCCCGGAACCTCACAGTTCCTGGCCCAGTGAGCACTCAAAGGTGTTGAAAGATGTGTAAGAAATATTAAATTTCTAGTATTTTAATATAACTTTATTGACATAGATGAAAATTCTAGTTAAAAAAAATAGGTAAACATTGAAAAATTTTAAGTGTGGACATAGGGGAGCTAAAAATAGGCCCTGGTAAAACCCACATGAAATTTTCCTTTGGGTGGAACAGTCCATTGCCTTTGTCACCACTTGGGGGAAGTAGAGAGGCACAGTCTCTCGTCCTAAAGGCGCAGCTTCAGGATGTCAATCTGGTGATGAATTCAGGATCTTTGTCAAAAATAAAATGTCTAAAATTATTAAGTGACCAAAACCCACACAACTAGTCTATAACCATCCAGTTGTTAAACATGATACATTTTCATATTGTCAGCTTGAAATCGCTGGTAGATCCAGGTCGGTTTCACTTGAGGATCTGAGTGCTGGACTGGGCCTTAGAGGTCACGGGGCAGTCAGCTGATTTCTCACCTTAGCGACTTGAGGCCAAACAGCTTGTTTCACTGGTAGAGCTGGGAAGAGAATGCAGATCCCTTGTGTCACAAGCCTCATGCCTCCTGTCCTGACCAATAATTGCAAACTTCCTCTTTTGACTTCCAGAATGACCAAGGTTCTGAAGCAAAAGCTAGGACACATAAGCTTAGAAGTAGATAGTGTTTGACATGGTGTCCTTGAAAACTCTAAGGTGCTAATGGTCTTGCCTGCACAGTACCGAGTTCATAAGCTGAAGGAAGAGCTTTCTGGCCTTTCAACATTCTGCCTGACTGTGTATCAGAGAGTGCATGTGAAGGAGTCCCGGTCTCCTTCTCTAGGAGAGCCCCAAACTTAGTTCTGGTTGATGTTGCCCCTGCCCAGACTCAGGCCTGCTCCTGGTGGGGAGGCCACAGAAATGTCGGTGCCCTTCTCAGTACCCAGAGACATGACCCACCCCTGCTGACACTGACCTTGATCACCTGTTTCCGCAGGTGTCTCCTGGTCTCCACAACATCACCTGTTTTCCCTCTGTATTTTACTAGTGTTGGGGGAAGAGGTGTTCTAATGTTGTGGCAAATCCTGCTCCTTGTCAGCTCACATTCACTGACCTTTAGTATCCATTGGCAACTCCTGCCTGCGTGAGTTTCCTCGGTGGAAGTTGTCAAGTAGTGATTCTCTTTCCACCACTCCTGCACACCCATCAGTTTTACTGTAGCCTAAGACAGAGCTTTCTCATTTATTCATTTATGTCGGTGTGGACTCTGTTTTAATCAGTGAGCTGTAATCCTCTATCCTCTTTATTGGATGCTCAAACTGTCCTAGATTTGACTAGTGAGAATTTCAAGCTGCTCCTGTGTCCTTTTGACACACACAAAGCTTTATCTTGTTCTTTGCCTGACCTAGGCTTGGAATCATCCAAGATGCCCCAATTTCTCCAAGGTGCCCTGATTCCTTGTGGAGAATGGAGCCCAGCACTCATTGTTACTGAAGTGCCATTGCTTCAGAGAACAGAGTTGGGGGATATACACATTTTATAGATACTTATGCACATATGTCTATAACTATATATATATATATACATATTCCTATGTATAAATGTGTGTATATTATATACAATATAAAATATATTAGGGCTGGGGATGTGGCTCAAGCGGTAGCGTGCTCGCCTGGCATGCGTGCGGCCCGGGTTGGATCCTCAGCACCACATACCAACAAAGATGTTGTGTCCGCCGAGAACTAAAAAATAAATATTAAAAAAAAAAAATAGGGGCAGTGATTGTGACTCAGGGGTGGAGCACTTGCCTCAGTACCACATAAAAATAAATAAAATAAAGGTATTGTGTCCATCTACAATTAAAAATTTAAAAAAAAAAAAAAAATATATATATATATATATATATATAAACTCAAAATTTCCAATTGTAATCAAACATCCCAGGGTTCTTTCCAGCCCTACCCCTTTCTACGTAAGCCTTTTGGGCAATAAGAAGCTTGTTTTCCATAATTCAAAATATGTCCACTTTTTTCTAAGTTAACTTATTCTCTGTGTATTTCATTTCTTCACCTTGCCAGCTACTTGACATCTTTTTGTCACCCCTCCCCCTTACTGCTTCTGCCCTGCCCACCCTGCTTTCTTTTTTTTAATATATTCTTAGTTGTCGATGGACCTTTATTTTATTCATTTATATGCAGTGCTG